TCTCTATTATTCATTCCAATGGAAGCTTGTCGTGTGAGGATTATTTACTTATCATTTATTTGCTATTTATTTACTGTTTTTACCATTTTTCCTTGCCTCGACATTTCATCATTTCCAATATTAAACATCTGCTCTTGCCACTGCATTTCCATTTACTACACCATCAAACTATTAATCCATATCCACCAGTATGCATATTTCCATTACCGTGACATTGTATATATCAACACTAACTATACATATATAGAGTAGTGATTTGCTTTGGTTAGACTTTTGTAATTTCACCTAATACTTGTGGAGACGATACTCACTCATCACTTTATTACTTGAACGATTGTGTATACTTGCACATTATTTGTGTATAATTTTATAGTACTCACAACACGCAACAATAAAGAATTATCACTTGTATATACCATACTTAAGTTGAATATAAATAAGTCATTAGTCACATGATGAGTGACACTAGTGTCCGGATACCAGACTAGATTGTTTGTGACTTTTGTTGAAGAATGAACATCCGGAAGAGATGAGAACGCTGAAGTAAAAGCAACGGAAGTCGAAGTCACAAAGAGATTTTGAGCATAAGTTGGTCTGAATGAAGCATCAAGTGCAGCCCCAGTAGAAACTCCATATGGTTAAAATAACATAGAGAAGGTGAGTGATAAAAAGAAACCCCAGAGAATGTTGGATTAGCCAAATAAACAAATGAAGGAGAAGTCTGCGAAACTGGATGTACAGTGTGATTGAAAACCGAGCTTGAGTTTGTGGTTGTCACTGTTCCAAGTGTGAATTACTCAACTGCTGATAACTCCGTAAAAAGACTTATTCTAGTCTTTTCACTTAAGTTATTGCTCGTCTAAACAAAGTATGCATTGCATTTTTAGTTGCATTTAGTTACATATAGGTTGTGGTGGATAAGTTTTGCCTAGGCAAGATTTATTTGGCTTAACTGATGCTGCTGAGGAGAAAGGGTTATTTGAGTTGTGTTTGTGCAGGAATTCTACAGTGGAAGAACATTTCAATCGTGACAATGAAAAGTTGCAAAGGCCAATGGAGCAGATGAGAACGTGAGGAGAAGATGAGAATGTGAGGAGCAGATTTATCTAGCCGAGGCAAGATTTATTTGAAAAAGTCTGAAGCAAATGTGGCGAAATTGTCTATGTCACATGCCAGCTGGATGACATGCTTCACGTGCAAGCAAGCCTTAAATATCCTGAGTACCGCCAGCCGTCTTTCCCTTTTAGGTTTGGGAAATTAATAACGGCTAATTAAGGAATCTCCAAAAGCATGAAAAGCCCTAGGAGATTCTCCTTATAATTACCAGCCGTAGCAGCAAAAAGAGAAGGAGCAAGGAAGAAGAAAGAAGAGCTTTACCTTAGGCGTGAGCAAGCAACTGCAGTGCTCTCCCTCCGTCTACCCCCCAATCTTCCTTGGTGTCCTCCATAGCCAGATGATAACAGAGCAGTGATCAGGCCTCGAGAGAGGGTGATCACCAAGGCAGGTGTGGTGCTGATCAGGATTGTCGCGACAGAGCCCCCGATTTTGGGAGTCGTTCTTCATTTGTTTTTAAACTCTTATTTTATTTGGGGTTGTATTAAACAGTTTAATCTTGGATGATCTTTGATAACACCATGAATGTTTTACTTGGTGTTAAACTTTGTTTTGCCTGAACAATATTTTATGAATGATGAATTATGTTTGCTTATGACTGTTTTGCTCATAGTTTAAATATTTTGCCTTAACACTGTAAGAGCATCGAGAGATCGCCTGGGGTTTTGGTAAAACATGTCTAGGCATTGTAAGAGCATCGAGAGATAGCCTTTTGTCTAGAAAGTGATTCTTGAATTCGAGAGAATTAAGAGAGATCAACGTGAGCAAATGAATGAATCCGAGATGGTGAAGTTCTAACTTGTCTACCTTAGAGACAAGGAGTAAGTTTCAAACGACTAAAAGGGATAAAGGCTAGAGTAGGTTAAGACAATGTCTATAGTTAACGCCCAGAGGTATTGCTATAGAAACCGTCTAAGAATACCTAGTAATCATGTCAGGCAGTTTAGTGAGTCATAATAATTCATTTTGGGCTTAAAATAATTGTTGTCGAGACAATGGTTTAGCATCAGTGCTCTGTGACACGTCTGAATATGTGAGGTCATTTGCATTATATTTAATCCAATACTTGTTTTGTTTTGTTTTATCTGTCTGTATATTTTCTTTGTCTCGACCACACTTGTCTGAAATCATTGAATCATTATTCTTAGCTCCTTAATATTAGTTCTTAGCTTTAATACTTAGTAGGATTAATTTGTGGCATTAGTTCTAGTTGTGGTGAAAAGATATTTCTAATCCAATCCATGTGGAGATGATACTCACTCACTACTATATTACTTGCATTGATTGTGTATACTTGCACAGATTAGCTTGCCTTAGCATATAAATTCACAAGCGATCAACTGCTGATAAAAATCTCTCGTCATAGCACCAGATTCGGCCACACCCCCATAATCCCTATCAAACTGATGATAACATTTCTGCACAACATGACCAAACTTACCACACAGCTGTCATTGTGGCCTAGTTGAATAATGATTTCGACCACGCCCTCGGCCTCAATAACCATTCTAACCTTGCTTCTGAGAGGATTGCACCCCTGTTGATCCCTTGTCACTTGAAACACCATCACTTCTATTATTCATCTGCACCATATTAACCGAGAAACCTTAGCTTAAAAATACCTTTTATCGAGCTTTACAATCTAATAACAATTCAGTTAGAGTATCCAACGTCACTTCTTCTTGGGTGGCTACAATGATGATTGACTCAAACTCCATTGTCAAACCATCTAAAACAACATTAACATGCTCTTGCTTAGTAACAACACTGCATGATGCATTTAGCGAATCACAAATAGACTTGACTTTCTCCAAGTATTCACTAATAGTCAAATCAGCCTTCCTTTGAGAATGAAGATTGTGTCGAAGGGAAGTAATCTTGGCACTTGTTCACCAAACAACCGAGACAACATTCCAAATAGAAATGGTTGTTGTAAGCCCAGTGAGATGTGGTAACATATCTAAGCTAACAGTAGTTAAGAGACAAGAGGCTAACAACTTGTCTTGCTGCCAATAAATCTCAAACCCCGAATTCTCTTCAACTTGTCCAGAACTATTAGTAACAAACTCACTTGGTACAACATTATTACTAGAAATAAAACGCAACAGACCATAACCATCAATTTTTAAAGAAATCTGATGCTTCCACAACAAATATGTATTCTTAGTAAGTTTAATTGTATCGTGCTTTGGGATATGTTGAATTGCATTTAACCTCGACACACCAGGATTCATAGGTGAATTGATTTGAAGGCATTCTCAGTATCAAGAGATTGACCAACAGTAAGATCCACCATCGTATCAAAGAACCAAAAAACAACTACAAGCAAGAAACACACAAAACCATATCCAAAAAGAAACTCAAAGAAGTAAACCAAGAACGGAAACAAAGATAAGAAATAAATCAAGAAACATATCTATCTATATCCAGCTCCAAAATACACCACTATACCAACGGAAAATCAGTCAAAACAAGCAGCGGAAAAAAATCCCAGGACTAGAACATAGCAAATGATACCATGTTAAGATAGCAATATAGCAATCAAATAAAACACAAGAAAGGAGGATATATAATTTTCGGATCAAGTCAAACTTGGGTGAAGAATACATATTTTTAGGTTGAGTCGGGTTGGCCAAAAACCCTATAATAACTCGATCTGTTGAAATCCCTAATTCTATCTCCATTCAAGAAAAACATAACTGCTCATATGTCAAAATAAAGTTACTCGATTTTTATTACATTATATTTTATTCGATTAAAATAGAAACTACACGAGGAGGCAAAGATAAAGATCAAAACCACTAGGAAGATGAACAAAATCCCACTAGACATTCGTAAATAGAACAAAAGATTTCGTGAATGTGACTTTGTTACAAGCATGGATGATCGTCAAACCATTCTTTAAGTAATTTATTTCATTGACTCCTCAATTCATTACTTAAGTGAGCTTTAAAAATTTTGATTAATTAGTTATTTATTAATTTCTTAGATCTTAATTGATGGAAGAGACCCCAATGCAATGGATATTGAAAGATACGTCCCTTTTGGCACGTGAAAAAAACCCCTTAATATCACCACCACTTTAAAGATGGAACCATGAATGCTCTTGAAAGTTTAATATTCTTTACATAAGTTATATGTATATATAGAATTTTGTTTGACTTATATTTTGTAACCATGATCTCTTTCTGGGAATGACTTAACAGGCTTTGAGGGAACTTGCATTGATGTATCGTACCGCAGCTTAGTTATGTTGAGAATTGATAGTGTTCAAGGCAAAGAACAAAAAGAAGAGTCAATCGTTTCGATCAAAAGGTGTATAGTATGGTCAAACATGCTAAGTTCGATCAAAAAGTGTCGGGCATGGTCAAACATGCTAAGTCAATTGATTTAACACACCACATCAGTATTTCGTTCCTGCATTAATTACGGTTAACGACTAATTATTAATTTATTATTTTTGAAACTTTAGTATGAAAAATAAAAAATTACTCGAATATTAGAGATTATTTGTGTAGTTTAAATTTTAAAAAAAACTAAAAGTACAGTACATAACTTACGGAACACTTGATCACACCATATCATAATGCGATGAGTGACTGCATTTTGTAGAAGAAACACTGACAATGGGTGATGTCAGATTTTAAACAAAACGTGATATTAGATATTTGGGAACATTGGATCAATAGTAAGAAATTGGATAGTCAAGAAATGTTCAAATGATGGACTCGGATTTATTATAATCAAAGACATTCAAGACAACATGCAGGCTTCTGTAATAAAAACAGAACAACTAAAACATTAAACTTGAACCCAAGCTGATTCGGGACTCAACAAACCCAACCCTTTACAGATAAAGAGAACAAACACGACATAACACGCACAGCTGGTTTTGCTTCGTCTTATTCTTCTTCTGCCTTCTCGGCTTCTTCTTTGGGTGCTTCGGTAGCGGATTCTGTTTCGGGTTCGGGTTCAGCTGGTGTTTCACTAGGCTCTGCAGTTTCTTTGGTTTCAACGGCGGGCTCTGTGGCTTCCTTATTCTCCTCCTCGGCAACTGACTTCGGCACTGTTTCCTTGGGAGTCGCCTCCACTGGCTCCTGGATGACAACTTTGGATTCTTCTACCACCTCCTTGGTTTCAACTTCAACTGAGGCTTCAGATTCTATGGTTGCCGCCGCTTCCTCAACAGCGGCTGCATTCTCGGCTTCCTTCTTCTCTTCGGCAACAGGCTCCGCCGCCGCAGGAGCTTCGGCAACTATCTCTTCTACTGTTGTTTCTTGATCCTTGACCGTTTCTTCAGTTTTCTCCTCATGAAGTGCAGTTTGAGCTGATACAACCTGTAACACATCGTATCAAATAAGAATATGCATAAAAGGAATCATGAAAACAGTATTTAAAACGTAAAACCAAGTTTCTCAAGGATGAAATCTAAACGAAAGCGTGGATGAAAAAGGGTTTTCGATAACAAACGCCAAGATCATTATCAGCTGATGAACGATCACAAATGGGTTGATTAAGATTTTTAGAATTTGCCAATACCTCAGCAATAGCCATAGGAATCACAAAGAGAAGTAATTAGAACTGGGAAGAAAATTATGGAAGGGGAAATAATTAGAGGGTAGCAGTGAAAGATTGCTCTAATGTATGATACATGGATGCATGAAAAGAGAGTGGCTTTTATAGAGGAGTAAAGTTTGATGAGAAGTGGTGGGTGCCATTCAAGAATCTTTGATTTGACAACTCATCTCACGGAGTACAAGGTAACTTACTCATTAGCTTATCTGGCGAAAGCTTTTACAGTTTTAACGTTTGTCTTAGATATTAGGCTAATGCAGGAAATGTCGAATGAATCATGAAATGGAAAAATTTAATTGATGTGTTATTTTTTTTAGAAATATTTTAATTTTTGTTTGATGGTATTGGTTGTCATGTGCAATCAATAATTATTTTTTTTCTTAAGCTCAAAGAAATTGATATATTCGTATAGAAAGTCAGTGTAATTTGTTCTAATTAAATAGGAGTGGTATGTTTAAATATTATATAATTTATGAGGTTAAATTTATTATATTTTATCAAGAGGTTGAGAATTATGGAGACTATATGTATAATTAATCGTTGTGATTTTATTATTGGTCAACAGATTTTACTAAATTATGTGATATTACACTTTGTTAATTAAATATATCTCAAAATATTTTATGATGATATAATTATTATTTGATAATTATATTTTTACAATTATTCTAATATTTTCAAATACACTATAAATTTATTCTCTTCCCTCTTCACAATTTGTGTTATTTTTTTATAGATTATATCAACATTTTCTTTTATTTTGTTTAGCAGGCTGTACCAATTTTGATATTGGTTGTTAATCGTCGATTGTCTTTTTTTTTAAGTTTTTTAATAAGAATAATTTTGTCTTTATGACACGTTTATCTTTGCCTTTGTGGCACGACACGCTTATCTCTGCCTTTTGGTAGTTTTCGATTTGTTGACCGTTGTTTTCGTTTATCTTTTTTTCCCTCAGGGTTGAATTTGACATTGTCACGACTGATCGATATGGTGCTTATTTGTTAATGCTAATCTTCCCTACATTTGACCATCAGATTGATTTGGATACGGCTTTGCGTTTGTGAATAGTTTTCTCACGTCGCTCGACTCTGATTTGCGATTTGTCTATGGTATTTCAGTAGCTTCATCCCATTTTTGTGGTTTGTTTGTCGTTGCAGTCAGATTTGTTCGTATTTTTATTTTATTCGAGTTTTTTTGTTAGGTTTTTTAACATTTCCTTCTTTGGTCCTTATGTGATCTAGGTGACTAGTTTTTGTCTTAATGGTAATAGAAAAATGTCATAATTATATTTTAGGTTTACGATTATGCTTGTAAATCTTTATTGTAATTTTATATATTTTATATTTTAATAAAACTAACGACTTTCTATAAAAATACATTATAAATTTATCTATTTAAATTCGATTTTTTAAAGATGAATAATACTCTCTTTTATTTATTATAGAGACCATTCAATGAATTATTAATAATGAATCCAAATGAATTTAGTTTTAAAATTTTATGAAAACACATTATCAACTAATTTCATCACTTAATTCATTGACGATGCATAAAATTTTATACATTATTGAAACATTAAATATTAATTCATAAAACTATCCAGGTAAGTGTACAAATACATCATGTGTCCTAATAATATATTCAAAATAAAAATAATAAAATAAAAATAATTATTTTGGCAGTATAATAAAAAAATTGCTTAGGATAGTATTTAAAGGTTAGAAATCAAACTTGATTTTTAGAAAGTTGAAAGTAAAAAAATGCGGCTATAAATGCTATGAAAAATTGAAGAATATTGTACAAACAATCAAATGGAAAATGAGGCAATGCTTAACTATTATGCATACAAACCAAGGTAGCTTTTTCTTAATTTGTAAAACAAGTTTTGGAACTATTTTCAACACATTTTTTAATCCACTTACAATATCTTGTATGTGTCAATATTGGCCTCAACTGAAAGATAAATTCTAATATTATGCCTCTAAACTTATAAATTACAACAAATTTAGATTAATTATCCAAAAATACGCCTTGAACGTGCCTATAAAAAATTGGGGTTTTAGCTATAACTCGCGTTCTACAAAATGTGATGATTGTTAAATACCACACGCATAACGTGAGTTTTTTTTGAAATATTAAATTGTATTATTTGAAAAGTGTTTTCACGTTAGAGGAGTCTAGCGCCCTATAGAAAACAAGACATTGACACTCATTTTGTAAGACTCGAGGTAGTCGTACGTGCATACTTTAAGGGTATTTTTCTAGGGCTGTTCATTCGGTTAATTCGGTGGTTGAACCGACCGAACTACCATTAACCGAATTAACCGAACTTTTGTTTTCTTTAACCGTTAACCGAAGCAAACTTTTTTTTTCGAAAATATTAACCGAACCGAATAAATTTCGGTTAATTTTCGACTTAACCAAAAAAATTTAAAATTTTCTAATTTATATAAAAATTAAATATTTTATAATTAAAAAAACAGTTTATAATTAATTTAAATAATATATAATTATAAAATAAAAATTTTATATAAATTTTTTTAATTAATTAATATTGATTTAGGTTTAAAAGTTATTGGATCTTAAATTATTAATTGGATTTTAAATAGTTTGGGCTGAGTCCATATGCTATATATAATATATTTAATATTTAAAATTTTATTTCGGTTAATTAACCGATTTCGAACCGAATTAACCGTTAACCGAATATCCAAAAAAACCTTAATCGTTCCCTGATCGAACTAATTCGGTGACCGACAGAATTAATTCGGTTCGATCGGTTAATTCGGTTAAAACCGAATTTTGAACACCCCTATATTATTAAGCTGTTTTAGGTTGTTTTTCAATAAAATAATAGAAAAGGTTTTTTATTTAATAACGCCAAAATATTATTCAATCTTTTAATTAACATTAAATATTAGGAATATCGTACGGAAAATCCCGTTGGTGAGATGTAAAATGATGAAGGGAAATAAATGGCGGGGAGCAAAGTGGTTGGTGTCTCAAAAGAAAAGATTAGAAAAATTGATTAGTTTAAAAGTGATTAAGAAAGCCTAACTTACCTGTCCTCTTTCCTTGCCAAATTTTAAAAGAAAATTGCATTTGTTCCCATTCTCATTCAATCCCACACCCTACAAAAATTATAAGATTATATATTTCAATTTACTGTTATTCTTATGTAAGTTGTTAAATATGTTGAAGTTTTGATTTAAAGTGGATAATATCATACATATATTTAAAATAAAAGTAAAAATATATTAGAACTTGGATGACTTAACGAATATAGTTACAGAATTTCATAACCGATAACTTCTATTTTAACTGCTTATTAAATGGGTTTAACCATAGTAACCTGCTTGATCCAACCGAGTCTGACTCAAAACTGCCAAGTAAATGAATTCCAATATACTTGTGTTCACTATTAACTGTATTAGGAGTAAAGAAAGAAAAATAACAAAAGTTGTTGCAATAAATTGATAAGTGTCTAAAACAAGCGCGGAAATTACAAATTAATTTCTGTAATTTTTTATTTAGATGATCAAAACATTAATTTAATTATAAGATCAAAATTTTGTATAACATTTAATATTGATTTTACAAATAAAACATAAGTTTTTACCACAAAATCCATACAAAAGCGATACAGAATGAGGCCGACACCCTTTCTTAAACAGGGTAAACTATCAAATTAGTTATTTTATTTTACAAGTGTTTAATTTTGGTCATCGATTTAATAAACATCCCATGGCAAGCTATGAATGGGGTTAGGTTAATATTTTCTTTATTAAGTTTAGAGTTAAACTAAAAGGCAGCATCTTTTATTAACATGTGTCACAAAACTAACGAAAACATAAATAATAAAAATATTTTTTTTAAATCAATGACTAAATGTGATCATTTATAAAACAAAGTGACCATTTTGACGGTTCACCCATTTTGTTTTGTTTTATTTTAAACTCAGCTTGTTCCAATCCGAAGCATTGTCGTCCAAATTCCAAAGCTCTGAGCTTCCTCTCTGAAGTCCCATCTAGTCAGGTTTTTGTCCTTCACTTGTCTGCTCTTCTTCAAATTTGCTTATGTTAAAGCTGCATTTTTTCATGCTGGTTCCACATTTATGTTAAATCTATATCTTTTATGGGAACTTCCCTCATGTCAAATGCAAAGTGAATATCAGATTTGACCTGAGTTTTTGCTCTGAAATTTGGTTAGCTGTACTTCAGCTGAAGGAGCTCTAGAACAGAAAAATGGTTCATATATTTTTTTTAATCTTCACATTTCAATGCCACCTGTAGTAGATCCTGTTCTAAGCTCTTTTATTTTCATATTTGCTTTGCTGGGCAAGTTTAGTAAATATCTGATTTTTTATTAGTTTCCATATGGAAAGAAAGTTGTATATTTTGGTTTAATTTAATCCGATCTAGAATATGAGATGGGCTTTTGATCTTAGGGAATTTTATACTTCTTTTTTGTTCATACTGTAGATTTATTGTATGTTTTCTCGTCATTTAGCTGCAATCACTGTGAAGAGTTTCATTCTTGTAGGAATTTCTGGGGGAAAATGCAGTTTCACAGGACTTTTTTTGTTCTGTTCTGCATTGCTCCTTTTCTCCTCCTTGACATATGGGCAAAAAGCTAGTCCTCCGGCTCCGGTAGAAATGACCCCGACTCTGACACCAGCACCCGCATATGTAAACCTCACTTACTTACTCTCTGTGGCAGGTCCATTTCACACGTTCCTTGGTTACTTAGAATCAACTAAAGTCATTGACACCTTCCAAAACCAAGCCAACAACACCGAACAAGGCATTACGATTTTCGTACCCAAAGACAATTCATTCAAGGGTCTTAAGAAGCCATCGTTGTCCAATCTCAGTGATGATCAGCTCAAATCTCTCATCCTTTTCCATGCCTTGCCCAAATACTACGCCCTTGCGGACTTCAGTTAGCTCAGTACAAAGGGTCCTGTCAGTACACTTGCTGGAGGCCAATATATTTTGAATTTCACTGATAAATCCGGCACCGTCCACCTCGATTCGGGGTGGAGCAAAACAAAAGTCACCAGCGCT